CAAAATTGGCCACAAATAAACTGAGTTTGTATACAAATTAGATTCAAGTTAACTGTATAGTAAAATTCCACATGATGGGTTCATTTTCAGAATACCTTTTTAGCATCAAGCTAAAGGACCACTTCTATAGATGGTTATAGACCAGTATCTGAACAAAGTGAACCTTGCCTGTATTATTGTCATAGGCAAAGAGCCTTTTGGGTAAAATGCCCTTCCAGAAAAACCCATGTCTTAGTCTTATATTTATATTTATCTAGAGTTTGGGGAAAGGGTAAAGGATTACTTTGATTAGAAGTTTGCGCTATTTACTTGGCTTCGCCACACACACACACACACACACGACTGGTTGTGGATCTTAGTTCCCCCACCAGGGATCAAACCCGTGTCCCCAAGAGTGGAAGCAGAGAGTTGTAACCACAGGACCGCCAGGGAAGTCCCCATTTTTTCCTCTTTAAATCTGTATAAATAGCTTACAGTATTTAAGGCCAAGATAAAATCACCAACTGAAAATAATTAGCAAAGCTATTATTTATTAGTAAACACTTGTAATTACCTAAATCCAAATAGAATTGAGGGCTTAGCTTTGCCTTAGAGTCTATTAGAGGACCTCGGGAATCTTTCTAACAACATGCCTTCAAGTCTTTTTATATGTAAGTCAGTGTTTTAAACCAGTATGCTTTATAAGGAATAAACACTCCGGGGTGACAGCACAGTACCTGGTCAATAAACATTTGTGAAATGAACTCAAGAATATCAGCACCCAACATTTACTGGATGTTTGCCTTCTACCAGGCCTGAAATTGTTTTATGCATACATGTATTCACACATACAGACACACACAGACCCTGAGAGGCTGGTATTATCCCACTTCACCTAATGAAGACACTACAAGAGATAAAGTAGCTAAAACCTTGAAGTGCAGAGACTAAGTAATGGCAGAATCAGAACTTGAACCCAAGTTCTTTAATCAAAGCTTCTGCTCCTCTGCCCAGATTGGGGCTTGCTTAGTTAATAAGTGGAAGAATGCATACAAAACAAGGTCAAAGTTCAGCCCTTTATCATATAAATAAGCTCACACTGAAAGAGAACAAGTGAGGTTTCACTATTAAGCACTCAACTCTATCCTTCCTTTTTCTTAATTTTCCATCAGAAAGTGCTTCTAATTTCTCCCCAAGAAAATAAATCTTAATGGCTTTTTGTCAGTTTTATTGAGCTGTTATTAGTATCTGCCATTCAACCAGTTTCCTACTTCCATTAAAGGAGACAGGCAAGTATAAACAGCAGATATAAGTGACTGATGGAGACGTAAGAAGGGTTCAGAGTGGTCAAAGCAGGATCTCACATGTTAGATCCTCAGGAGGAAATGTGTCTTCTACTGTTCCGCTTACTGTAGCTGCTTCACATGAAAACGATGAGCTCCGTGAAGCACAACCGAACCTTCCCATGTACTCTCTAACGTCTACTGGCAAATTAGAAACTGCAAAATAGTATGTAGTGAGGTCTTCAGATACCGAGGTCTGGAAAACTAATTAGAACACTACCTCTTTCTGAACAATTCAGTCCAGCAAGATTCTGAGGGTAATTTACTGGTACAATTAATTTACAAATAAGCAAACAGATAGATACCACTGCTAATGTTTATGTGATGTTATGAGCTTGCAATTAAATAATTATGTCTAAGTAGATGCTGTATAATAGAAAAAAGGCACAGAGGGTATTTATTATCAACATGAAACCATACATCCATGACCTCTGTTTTATCAAATGCTACAGTTTATAGAGCTGGAAGTTACTCAAAATTATGGACTTCCATTATTATCAGATAACCCTCCTTTTTTTTTTCTTTTTTGCCACTATGCTCAGCTTGTGGAACCTTATTGACCCAGCAGGGATGAAACTCCAGGCCCAAGCTGTGAGAGCACTGAATCCTAACACTGGACTGCAGTTGCGGGGGGCGGGCCCGCAGTGCAGGGGGGTGGGAATCTGTGAGGAATTCCCCCACCACCAGCTACTCTGAGTTGGAGACAAATGCAACCATTTCTAATTGAAATCACCCACATAATCCACCCCATCTAAGGGCAACTCTAAGTTCAGTTCAGTTGCTTAGTTGTCTCTGACTCTTTGCGACCCCATGGACTGCAGCATGCCAGGCCTCCCTGTCCATCACCAACTCCCGGAGTTTACTCAAACTCTGTCCACTGAGTTGGTGATGCCATCCAACCATCTCATCCTCTGTCATCCCCTTCTCCTCCTGCCTTCAATCTTTCCCAGCATCAGGGTCTTATTAAATGAGTCAGCTCTTCACATCAGGTGGCCAAAGGATTGGAGTTTCAGCTTCAACATCAGTCCTTCCAATGAGTATTCAAGACTGATTTCCTTTAGGATGGACTGGTTGGATCTCCTTGCAGTCTAAGGGACTCTTAAGAGTCTTCTCCAACACCACAGTTCAAAAGCATCAATTCTTCAACCCTCAGCTTTCTTTATAGTCCAACTCTCACATCCTTACATGACTACTGGAAAAACCATAGCCTTGATTAGACGGACATTTGTTGGCAAAGTAATGTCTCTGCTTTTCAACATGCTGTCTAGGTTGGTCATAACTTGTCTTCCAAGGAGCAAGCATCTTTTAATTTCATGGCTGTAGTCACCATCTGCAGTTATTTTGGAGCCCCAAAAATAAAGTCTGTCACTGTTTTCCCATCTATTTGCCATGAAGTGATGGGACTGGATGCCATGATCTTAGTTTTCTGAATGTTGAGCTTTAAGCCAAATTTTTCACTCTCCTCTTTCACTTCCATCAAGAAGCTCTTTAGTTCCTCTTCACTTTCTGCCATAAAGGTGGTGTCATCTGCATATCTGAGGTTATTGATATTTCTCCCAGCAATCTTGATTCCAGCTTGTGCTTCTTCCAGCCCAGCGTTTCTCATGATGTACTCTGCATATAAGTTAAATAAGCAGGGTAACAATATACACCCTTGACGTACTCAAGGTGTACTGATTTGAAACCAGTCTGTTGTTCCATGTCCAGTTCTAACTGTTGCTTCCTGACCTGCATACAGATTTCTCAGGAGGCAGGTCAGGTGGTCTGGTACTCCCATCAATTTCAGAATTTTCCACAGTTTGTGGTGATCCACATAGTCAAAGGCTTTGGCATAGTTAATAAAGCAGAAATAGATGTTTTTCTGGAACTCTCTTGATTTTTCGATGATCCAGTGGATGTTGGCAATTTGATCTCTAGTTCCTCTGCCTTTTCTAAAACCAGTTTGAACATCTGGAAGTTCATGGTTCGTGTACTGTTGAAGCCTGGCTTGGAGAATTTTAAGCATTACTTTACTGGTGTGTGAGGTGAGTGCAATTGTGTGGTAGTTTAAACATTCTTTGGCATTGCCTTTCTTTGGGATTGGAATGAAAATTGACCTTTTCCAGTCCTGTGGCCACTGCTGAGTTTTCCAAATTTGCTGGCATATTGAGTGCACACTTTGATAGCATCATCTTTTAGGATTTGAAATAGCTCAGCTGGAATTCCATCACCTCCACTAGCTTTGTTCATAGTGATGCTTCCTAAGGCCCACTTGACTTCACATTCCACTCTAAGTTGAATAATGTTAAAAGCCTGGTACTTATGAATTCTTTCAAAAGTTAAGGGATGAAATAAAATCTGTTTATTGGTCATAAGTTTATATATTGTTCCTGAGGAACCAACATTTGTCTTTCATGTAACTAGAAGTTGATGAGAAGGGAGAACTGAAAAGGAAACCACCTATCAATGGAAAGTTCAGTTCAAACAGAGGCAGCACTTCAAAAGCAGCAAGGCCTTTACAAACCTTACTGTCGGCTTGATAAAGTAGCTTACCCATTGGTGGGAAAGGGTCACTGACATTTTACATGATAAATGTTTCCAGGATCGTAACTGTAGTCCCTGAACCAAACACCAGGAATAAATGCTACCTGGCTGTTGATAAACGTAGAGCACTTCTCAACACCAGAGACAAGAAACACCGCAGGGCTTCCCTGGTGGCCCAGTGGTTAAGGGACACCGGTTCAACCCCTGGTCCAGGATGACCCCACGTGCCACAGAGCAACTAAGCTCGTGCTCCACAACTACTGAGCCCTCACTGTAGAGCCCATGAGCTGCAACTACTGAAACCCTCACACCCAGCACCTGTGCTCCACAAGAGAAGCCCACACATGGGCAACTAGAAGGCGGCCATGCGCTGCAACAAAGATCCACCACAGTAAAAATAATAATAAACTCTTAAACACTGCAGCCACTCACATCCTCTCTGACTCAGTCCTCTGGTGCTGAGGCTATTATTTTGTTGTTGGGCTGCAAATTCCTAGAGGCAATATTTGCATCTACTACCCCATAACACATTCCCTCTTCATCCTTACCCTGGCAGCTGATGTGAAGATACTATTTAGGGCATCAATTTTTTTTTTTAAGAAAGGAAATTTTAAAATATTTTCATATTATTTAAGGGCTTCCCTGATGGCTCAGTGGGTAAACTATCTGCAATGCAGGAGACCAGGGTTCGATCCCTGAGTTGGGAAGATACTCTGGAGAAGAGAATGGCAACCCACTCCGGTGTTCTTGTCTAGAGAATCCCCATGGACAGAGGAATCTGGCAGGCTACAGTCCATGGGGTTGCAAAGAATCGGACACAACTGGAAGACTCACACACAAGAGCATGAGTTCTGGAGATACCTGGAGAAGCCTAGGCAGTCACTGCACACGCATGTCTTTCAGTCCTGGAGCCAGTCACAAGAATCAGGAAAGGAACAGGGGCTTGGATGTTCAGTAAAGGACCCCGGACTGGCACTCTCAATTTATACTGTAATTCACGGTTGTTGCTGTTTAGACAAGTGAACCTTCCTTCTCCCAGGAACCCTGATTGGGCCTGCGTGTTTCAAACTCCAAAGATCAAGGAAGAACCTGCGGGTCTTCTCGGGAAAGACCTGCTGGGCCACCGCCACCCCGGACAGGTGGTCAAATACTTACAACCTCGGGCGCGCGCGCTCCCTGCTCTCCCGCGAAGGGCTCTCGGGAGTCGCCTCCAAAACCCCCGTGGGAGCCTGCGGTGGGCCCAGCTCCCCGCGCCAGGCAGGGGGCTCCTGGGTCGGGCGGGAGGCGGCGGGGGCTCCGAAGCCGGAGCCCTGCAGCCTAGCGCGGGTGTACATGGTTCAGAGCCCGCGGGGCCCCTGCCGACGCCGCTGCAGGACGGATGCGGGCGGCACTGGGATTCGTGGCGGGTCTCGGACTGCGACTCCGAAGAGCCGCGGCAGCGGTTTTAGCAGCTGAGTTTCGGTTTCTCGCTCCCAGCAGCCGACAGCACCGCCCCCAGGACTTCCCCGACCTCGCTCCTCTTTGGCGCCCTCTGACCTGATCGCAGGAGACCGCCTTCCCGCCCAGCCAGGGATAAGGAGCGAACCTGCCCGGCTCCAGGTGAGTCGGTTTGAGGATCTCACAACCACCTTAAATGGTGATTAAACGCTGTCTACGATCAGCCACGACACCTCGTGTAAGCACGGAGTAGCCACCAGGTAACTGAAATTCCTGAAAGACGCCTTAGGGACAGTTGGTTAAACTAACTAAACTCACCCTAATATGAGGTTCCTGCAGAGTATTTGAGACTGTGAACAATGTATTAACCTTCAGATGCCAGAGATTAGGTCAATAGTTAAAATCATCTAGACACAATTTGGCCTTTCATCAGTAAAGGCTGCTGTTTAGCTTTTGCCACGTAAGCTCAAGATAGAGGAAATGGAAAGTGAAATCAAAGAAAAAGCAAAAGTAGAGAGAAGCAAGCCAAAGGAAGGCAGAGATGACTCCACAGCTAAGTGATTGATCGGACAGTCAAGAAATTTTGATGAAATACCTGCTCTGTGCAAGACATTGGGCAATAATTCAACCATGGTATGGGAATAGTTTAAAATACGGATCTGCAAGATTCTGTAGGTCTGGGGACTAGTGTCCCCATCCACATGTTTAAAAAGCTCCTGGATGGTTCTGAAGTGTGCTGGGTTGATTACCACTGTCCTAAAGCTGGCGGTACAACCATGAAAGACGTCTCTTCCTTCGCCTAACCGGTACCCTAAGACAGCGGTCCCCAACAGTTTGGCCACCAGGGACTGACTTCCTGGAAGAATGACTGCTGGAGAGGCATGGTTTCAGGATAACTCACGTGCATTACATTTATCGTGCCCTTCGTTTCTGTTATTACTACATCAGCTCCACCTCAGATCCCAGAGGTTGGGACTCAGGGAAACTAGGGCTTAACCCCTCTGAGTAATTCAAGGGGACATTTGGGAACGAGCCACAGAAGTCAAGACGTTCACCAGGAAGAAGGAGGCTTGTGGCTTAAGCTGACAAGGTGTGTACCTAACTCCAGGTGGGGCAGGATGGTGGGGCACCCCAGCCTGTAGTCATGGAGTCAGCAAGGAGCCCAATTGCTTTGCTTGTCTTACGGGTACTTGGCTCAGTCTGTAAAGAATCTACCTGCAAGGCAGGAGACTGCCTGCAATACAGGAGACTAGGGTTGGATCCCTGGTTCGGAAAGATCCCCTGGAGAAGGAAATGGCAACCCCTTCCAGTATTCTTGCCTGCAGAATCCCATGGACAGAGGAGCCTGGCGGGCTACAGTTGCAAAAGAGGTTGCAAAAGAGTTGAATACAACTTAACAACTAAACCACACACTAGTACTTAGAAAAGAAAGACAAACACATGTTTGATAGCTCATGAAAGAATTAAAGGAAGGGCAGGCAGTGGATGGAGTGGGAAGGAGAGAAGGTAGTGACAAGGTACTTGTCAGGAAAGGAAGTCAAGGTTTCTAGGCCACCCTGCAGCGTTAGAGGTTTGTCAAGTAGACTTGGGTTCTTGAACTTCAGAGAGCATCAGAACCACCTGGAGAGTGTGTTGAAACAGTCTCCTGGCTCCTAATCCTTGTGTCTGAGATTCAGTAGGTCTGGGGTGGGACCCTGTGGGGTATTTTGAGGATTTATAAATAATCCATACCAGTGGTTCTCAAATGGAGTTGATTTTGCCTCCTGCAGACATTTGGTGATGCCTAAGAGGTAATTATTGTGGAGCCTGGAAGTTGCTGGAGGTGGGACTACTGGCATCTAGTGGAGGCCAAGGAAGCTGCTAAACACCCTACAGTGCGCAGGACAGGCTTCCCCACACAGAAAATCATCCTGCCCCAAACATCAACAGGTCAAGTTAAAAGCTTTTGAACAGCAAAGGAAACCATAAACAAGATGAAAAGACAACCCTCAGAATGGGAGAAAATAGTTGCAAATGAAGCATCTGGCAATGGATTAATCTCCAAAATATACAAGCAGCTCAGGCAGCTCAATATCAGAAAAACAAACAACCCAATCAAAAAATGGACTGAAGACCTAAACTGGCATTTCTCCAAAGAAGACATACAGACAGCCAACAAACACATGAAAAGATGTTCCACATCGCTCATTATTAGAGAAATGCAAAGCAAAACTACAATATGGTATCATCTCACAGTGGTCAGAATGGCCCTCATCAAAAAATCAACAGACAAATACTGGAGAGGATGTGGAGAAGAGACAACCGTCTTGCATTATTGGTGGGAATGTAAATTGATCCAGCCACTTTGGAGAACAGTATGGAGATTTCTTTAAAAACTAGGAATAAAACTACCATATGATCCAGAAATCACCTGAGAAAACCACAGTTCTTAAAGACACATATACCCCAGTGCATTGCAGCACTATTTACGATAGCCAGGACATGGAAGCCACAGCAGTGTCTATCGACGGATGAAGGGATAAAGAAGTGGTGGTACATATATACAATGGTATATTACTCAGCTATAGACATGAACAAATTTGAGTCAGTTCTAGTGATTTGGATTAACTTAGAGCTGTTACACAGAATGAAGTAAGTCAGAAAGAGAAAGATATCATATATTAATGCACACATATGGAATCTAGAGAAATGGTAGTGATGAACCTATTTATAAGGGCAGCAATGGAGATGCAGACATAGAGAACGGATTTGTGGACATAATGAGGGAAGGAGAGGGTGGGACGGACTGAGAAAGTAGCACTGAAATATATATATCACTATACGTAAAGTGTCAGCCAGTGGGAATCCTCTGTATGACACAGGGAGCTCAGGCTGGTGCTCTGTGACAACCTCAAGGGGTAAGATGGGATGGGCAGCAGGAAGGAGCTTAGAGGAGAGGACACACGTACACCTATGGCTGATTCATGTTGACCTATGGCAGAAACCAGCACAACATTGTAAAGCAACTATCCTCCAATTAAAAATAAATAAATTAGGAAAAGGAAACGACAACCCATACCTACATTCTTGCCTGGGAAACCCCACGGACAGAGGAGCCTGATGGGCTATACAGTTCATGGGGTCACAAGAGTTAGAGACGATTTGCTGACTAAACAACAGCAAAGAGCCAGAGTCATTTAATGGTTGCTGTTTTATGGTGACTTTAAGGCTTTAGATTTGTAAGTGGGTAAGTGGTACAACAATTCATAATTAATCAGGCGGAAGGTGAGAGAATTTGATTTGAGACTAGGCAGGCTGGAGGTGCCTGCAAGGTGAGACATGCTTACTACCATGGATCTGGGTGGTCTTTCTGGGGGTGATGAGCTTCAGAATCTCTTCCCCTGGGAAAACACCATAGGAACTTTTGTTTCGGAAGAGAAAGCAGTTGGTTTTGGTGGTTAGATTACATTCAAATTTTGAGTAAGGGAAAGCCCATTAGGGGAAAACCAGTTCTGTTAAAGGTAATATTAAAACTGACTTTAGGAATGCACTTAGTTGACCATGTTTATTTTACAAAACAACCGTGCAACACACCCATGTTTCAAACGTAAGATAGAAATAGAAGATAATGGTCAAAATCTAAATTGTTCTATTAAAGTTTGCTACTCTCGGCTACATTCTCAAAGTGTTTTTAAAAATGTGAATATGATTTGTGATTACAATAGACATCTACAAGCTTCTTCAGGGTGCTTAAGAGTGAGTCATCTACTGCCTTATCACCCATTGTTTCACCTTAGTCTGTTAGTCACTCAGTTGGGTTGGACTCTTTGCGACCCACGGACTGTGACCGAGTCCAAGCTCAGTCTGCTCACCACACAAGAGGCCAATGAAAGAGACCAGGTGCCTCAAAATAACCATCGTATTGGGGGTCTGGACGCCCAGCTCTTTTATAGATCAGAGGTGGTAGGGGAGGTGAGGAAGCAAAGTAAAAAGGACATTAATCTTGCAAACATCTCCCAGAACAGGCAAGCGTCAGGCAGGGACTCTATAGGTGGACAGAGTCCTGAACAAAGGCACTTAGTTTAACAGCCAGGCAGAGAGGCAGGATTCTCTGAGGCAGGCCATTCTGTATGATTATGATAACAATAGCAACAAAAAGCAAGTCAAAGAAACAGTTCCAACATGGAGTCAGAATTGGCTTCTTCTCTGCAACAGGACTGCCGCCCTCCAGACTCCTCCATCCATGGACTTCTCCAGGCAAGAATACTGGAGTGGGCTGCCTCTTCCTCCTCCAGGGGATCTTCCCGACCCAGGGGTCATCCCAGGCCTCCTGCACTGCAGGCACATTCTTTACCATCTGAGCCACCAGACAAGCCCACCTTGTGTGTGTACACTTGTGTGAGAAGGCGAGCTGGCCTTCTGCATGAGTTATCCTGAGGTGTGTGCCTCTGTGGCATCTCTGGTGGGGGGGCGCAGGGCAAGCGGTAAGGTTCTGGACCTCCATCCCTGCTCCCACGCGAGTCTTCTAGCCCTCATCTCTTCTATACAGTGGACTGCTACCTGATTTCTGTTTGAAGCAAGAGTTCTATGGCTTTAAAAGTTTGTAGCACCACTGTACTAGACAGTTGTTTATATGTTTTAAGACAGCAGTGCCCAACCTTTTTGACACCTGGGACCTGTTTCATAGAAGACAATTTTTCCACAGATCTGGGCACAGGGGAGTAGTTTTGGGATGTTTCAAGCACATTACGGTGAAGTAAAAGTCGCTCAGTCATGTCCAACTCTTTGAGACCCCATGGGCTATACAGTCCATGGAATTCTCCAGGCTGGAATCCTAGAGTGGGTAGCCTTCCCCTTCTCCAGGGGATCTTCCCAACCCAGGGATTGAACCAGGGTCTCCTGCATCACAGGCAGATTC